AGTAGAACTGCCCCTAAGATTCCCCAAAGGAATGGCTACAGGTGGTGTGCAACACCTGCTAGGGAAAGCTGCAAGCAGAGTGCAAAACGAACCTGAGAGAGTAACCATGTGGGCTTTGACCAGCAAAGCTGTAAGGGTGGGGTTGCTGGAGGCTTTGGTGCCTACTAGTCTCTCTATGTGCACAAGATGCCAGACTTGGGGCTTTAAGATTTAATGTGTTCTGGGCTGGGTTTTGGTCTTGCCTTGGAGTATTACTCCTTCCTTTTGGAATAAGAATGTTTAACTTATCTTCTCATGGTCATTGTATATTGGAAGTCTATTACTTGCTTTCTGATTTTATAGGAACTCAGAGCTTCGAGGAATTTGCTGTGTGTCTGGACTTGGACTTTTGTGTGATGCTAAGATGAAGTAATACTTCAGGACTATTAGAGATGGAATGAATATATTTTGCATTGTGAGAAGCTCAATTCACAATAGCTCGACTATGGAACTACCCTCGGTGTCCCTCAATAGATGAATGGATAGAGAAAATGTGGTATATATACTCAGTGGAATATTACTCAGATTTAAAGAAGAGTGAAATTATGGCATTTGCCAGTAAATCCTTGGAGTTGGAGAATATCATGCTAAGCGAAATAAACCAATCCCACAAAACCAAAGGCCAAATGTTATCTCTGATATGCGGATGCTAATTCACAATAAGTGGGGGGAAGGAGGACTAGGGAAGAATAGTGTTATCTTAGATTAGGTAGAGGGAACCGATGGGAGTGGAGGGGAGGGGATCTGGGGATAGGAAGGATAGCAGAATGAAACAGACATTATTACTGTGTGTATATATGTGACTGTATGACCAATATGATTCTGCAACATATACACTCAGAAAAATGAGAAATTATATCCCATCTATGTATGATATATCAGAGTGCATAAATGCATTCTATTGTCATGTATAACTAATTAAAACAAATTTTAAAAAAAAATTTAAAAAAGAGAGAAGGACACGAGCCTTGGGTCCAGGGGTGGAGTCCGATAGTTTGGAAATGGCTTGAGTTTGTCTCTCTAGGGTTCATATGTAGAAAACTTGGTCCCCATGGTGATGGAGTTAGGAAGTAGTGTGGAAAAGGTAAGAGGTGGCCCAGTGGGAGGTCCTTAGGTCACTGAGGGCATGTCCTCAGAGAGCATTGTGGGACCCCAGGATCAGTCATTATACTTTATGATGTTTCCTGTGCCCTCTTCTCTAACAACTCCTACATTCATCTCTGGGATTCCTTACCCTACATTTCCTCATTTGTCCCCTAGGAATAAACTCCCCATTTTATCTGTCATTGTCAATATTTCAGGCTTCAATTTGAGTCCTTTTAGTTCCCTAAAGCTGCCCCTATAATCCCTACTTTATGCTTCCCTAGAAAGTAGTGGAAAGGAAACTGGCACCGCAACAACACGAATTTGGGTTTAGATTTGGGCTAGGCTACCTGTGATTCTGTTCAAAGTCCTCAATGATTTACGATTCTTCATCATTGTAAGGTGCATGATGCTGCCACTTCATGGGGCTATGTGCTTAGCCTGGTCCTGGTACCTGGCAGAATCTTGATATAAGTCACTTTCTCCCGTCTCTCTGAACTTCTCTGTGTGTACCACTAATTTGCCCTTAAATCATACCTGCTTTATGATAGCTCTTGTCCTACACTATCATTTAACTTTTATTTGGGGTTGTGGAGGTACCAGGGATTAAACTCAGGGCACTCTGCTACTGAGCCACATCCCCAGCCCTAATTTGTATTTTATTTAAAGACAGGGTCTCACTGAGTTGCTTAGTGCCTCGCGTTTGCTAAGGCTGGTTTTGATCTTGTGATCCCCCTGCCTCAGCCTTCTAAGGTGCTGGGATTACACACATTTGCTACTGTGCCCAGCTCATTTAACTTTAATATGAAAAATATGATAAATGTTTTCTCCTAGTAGGTAAATTATAAACTTATTTTGATCTTTACATGTCCCAAGGATAACAGATTCTTACTAATTACTGGTGAATGAGTGAATGAAAGATAGTAAAAGCAACTAGCTCTAAGGACTTACAACTCCATACCTGGTAATATTACAATATTCAGTTCAAGAACTCCATAAACACTGGATTGCCTCTAACTCCAGGACTTTGTGTTTTTCAGAAAAGAAATGGTTAGAGGAAAACCTCGCTATTTTTTTCTTTATCCTATAGAATCAATTTAAATAAGAAAATGCAGAGCTCATCTTAATAAAAATGCATATCCAGAGGCACACAGTTAAGACCAATGAAAACACAATGTCTACTGCCCAAGGTTCAGGTTTCCTAATAAATGCATGTAGCCAGATCAGAAATAATTAGTGTGAATTAAAAAGCAATTATGGAGACAATATAATTCAAACTAATTTTATGAAATTAAGTCAATAGGAAATTATAAGAAACCTCATGTTTATGGATTAAGGACATTAAAGGCCCCCTCTCTATTTTCCATGGACTTGCTCTTGAGGAGGGAGAAGGAATCCTTTAGGACAACAGTGTTCTATTAAAAGTCAGATAGAAGGAAGGATTAGCAGTAAACAAAGAAATAGACCTAAGCACTGTTGAAAACCACTTTTAGTGAATCTTCAGGTTAAATGGGGTTTAAAGAAAAGAAGAGGAGGGAAAAAATCAAACAGGCAATGTGATAGAACAAAGCAAATAAACAAACAAACAACTTCAGAAAGGAACTAAAGAAGGTTCCCAGAATGTAAAGTGTGTGGCTCCTTGCTAGCCTTGAGGTTGGGGTAGCAAGCCTGCAAGCCAGAGTGAGGGGGTTCAAACCTGGCTACATTGGAACAAAAGGGAGGATTCCCAAACTACTGTCTAACAGGGATTTTCAAATTGTTATGCCAAACCCTCCATCAACAGAACCTTCAAGGATCCCTCAATATATAAAAGAGATAACTCTATTTCTATATGGTTCCAAAAAAAAAAAAAAAAGCTGGTAGAGAAAGGGTGAGGGAATTTTCAGAGAAAGTGGAAGAATTTTAGATGATGCTCTATCTGGAAGATGCTAAGCCTGGAAGAAAGTATTTGTAAGACCACTGTCTCAGATATGTGTAAGGTTTTTGTTCAAGACCTAGTTTGTCAAAGGGCCTATGGGGTGAAACTAGTGACTGAGGATCATGATAGTAAAGACAACATCTTTCACATCATGGAAGAAGAAAATAGGCCCTTTTTGCTGTATTACACTGTGATCTCATTGGGGTTTATTCTTTTTGGAAAATATTTTTTAAGCTATAATTGAGGCTCTTGGTGGAAGCCAATTTCAACTTAGCAACACCTAAATATATCTTAGCCAACAGGCTCTGGATGGCCCTTCAGAAAGAGCTGTCAGAAAAGACAACAGCAGCCCTTATATTTTTGCCTGCTATTAGGGAAACCTCAATATTCAAGGTTTTTGATAGTCTTGTAGGTACAGTTAGTGGGAAATCTTTAGAATCTTAGAGTCTTTCCTTACATAGCAGTAACTATAACATACACAAACATTAGAGTATGGTTATAAAATTAAGATAGAGAAAGGGAAAACAAGTTTTGAAGGCATCTGTTTTCAAAAAAGAGCCCTCAGGGACAGAATGATCCAGAAGGTGCACGGGTGAATGGTCAATGAGATACAGACATTTGAGGGACAAGGAACATCTTGGGCAGTGATCTGAATGCACATTGAACAATGAATACACGTTGATATTATTGTGACTTTCCCCATGCTAATAGCAGAGAATGAGCACTTTCTCTTTACCTTGCTCATATACTCAGTTGGGAGAGGTCAGGCCTGAGGTTCTGGTAGATACTTCCCAGGCTAGGGGAATGTGAAAAGGGGAATACATTTTGGGATCACACTAATTTTTACACACAAACCAGACTCTATAGTGCCTCCTGCCTCTTGCAACTGGACCCACAGATTTAATTCAATGAATGGAGGATTGGCTCCAGCTAGCTCCACCTGTACTGTGATTTTAGAATAATCTGACCTTTCCCCTAGGTGGATGCCGACACCTTAGGATGAATGAATAATGAAAGATTGCCTGGGGTTCCCTGTGTAGCGTCTCATTTCTCAACAAATAAGGCTACCCGTTTGGCTACTTAAGTTTGCACCCAGGGCTGATAAGCTCACCCCTTCTGCAGGAGCAGAGTGACAGGACATTGTGTGGGAAGTGTGGAACTGTGGAACTGCCTTTAAACAAGAAACTCACAGATCCAGGCTCTTTGAATAATTTCTTGAATTCTTGCTCCCCCTTAAACATTCCCTTCCAACTTTCTATTAAAGCAGAAGTAAAAGCAGAAAGAAAAAAATAAATAAAAGCATCAAATCCGGGTGTGTGGGGGGGTGACCCTAAAAAGTCTGTTTTAAAGACACTACTTTGGTTTCTGCATGCTCGTTACAGTAAACTACACTTTCTAAACTGTTTCAGGAAGGAATTTTTGTGATGCCAAATTTCAAAAGACCGGACTCAAATCAAGTTGTCTAAACTCTGACAATGCTCTATTAAACACCCAAAACAACTCGCCTTTCAGAGACATTTAGCGAGTACCAGGGAAAAATGCCATCTACATCCCATAATGGGAGCACAATTTTCTTTCACTTCTTCTTTTCCTTCTGAAGCATCGTGAAGGTAACAGGTTTCTGGATGGACTGCAATTTAGCTGAAGAGTCTGAACCTTCACAACCCTGCCCCCTCAGTGCTTGAGAGAAACTGAAAGTGTAGTAGGTTAAGTGTGTATTTTCGAAAAATCTAAAGCTGTGTGGGTCTCTGTGTGCTCAGTCTTCTAAAGAGAAAGAATTCCCTCCTTTTTTTCCACACCTAAACTTTTTGGCAGCCGAGCGTGTCAAAATACTAGCTGCGATGAGAAGCCCAGACACATCAAATACACTTCACCAGAGGACTTCCGAGTTAGCCTCAAACAGCTTTGCAAAGACATTATTGAAATGTGCAGAGCAAGGGGAGCGGGGATGGCCTCTTACCTGGGCTTCTTTCATGATTCCATTCTTGGTGCCGGTTCCACTTTGCGAGCCATGGCTGGGGTTCTTGTGATTGTGAAGCGTCCCATTGCAAACAGCACCACCTCCAGGATTAGCCATTTGGGGGAAGTGATGGAGCCGGCAGAATCCCCTTCAGAGGTTTCCTGGAGCTTTAACTTTTAAGTAGGCGAGGGGATGGGATAAAGCTCTTGGGGCTGAGCCCTTAAAGGAATCCTACCAGTCAGGCTTTTCCAGAAGAAGAGCAACAACCTATCTTTTTGCCAGATCTTTGAAACTGAAAACAAATGGTCACCTTTATACACCTCGACTCCAGTCAGAATGTAGATTCCATGGCAACAGACCTGCTTCCAAAATTACAAAGGAAATTGGCCATGCTAGCTCCTCTAGGAGACTGAGGAAACTTGGGGAAGAGAAACCCAGTAGCAAACTGTAAGGAGGCGGGCAGGGAGGTGGAGAGTCTTTTAAAGACACACACACACACATTGCATACCCAGCACACTCACTGAGTCTTCTAAGTACTATATAGCCGGTTCTGAATTTACCTCTTTCTTTCATCGTCTGTCTTCTGCATGTAATTACTTTTTTTTTTTTTTTTGGTTGTAAACCAAGCTCATAGGTCATGATTTCTCTTTGCAATAAAATAAAATTCAGAAGTGGTTGCCAGGGACTAGAGGGATGTGGGAATGGGAATGTGTTTAATGGGTACAGGGTTTCAGTGGAGCAGAAGAAAAATTTATGGTGGTAGATCATTCCATGACAGTGTGAAGGTACTTAATGCTGCTGGATTTACACTCAAAAGGAAGGAAAATGGTAAATTTTATGCATTATATACTTTACCAAAATAAAAACAACACTCAAAATCCTTGTAAATATATGAACATATGTAACCAGATATAATGAGGGATCATAGGAATTCCAGTAAGGACCAGTGTAACTCCACATCATGTACAACCACAGGAATGGAAATTTATAGTCCATGTATGTATTGTATGTCAAAATACATTTGACTGTCATGTGTAATTAAAAAGAACACATACAAACATTTTTAAAAATTAAAAAAAAAAACTCCAGTAAGAGAGAAATCTGTGAGACAGAATGTTTGATTTCTCATTATTCACAAATGTATTATCTTTATCATGTGACCTTGGTGGAGTCATTAACCCTCTTTCTGCTTCAACTTTACTGCCTATAAAATGAGACAAAATGTTTTTGGTGGACTTTTGTCTAATGGGGCATTAGGAAATAAAACTGTGGCTTTGGTTTGTTACTAACACAGGTATGTGAGGCAGGTGGTGACTGCAGGTTCCCAGTCCCCAAATACCTCTCGGTTTATTCATTAACTCTTTTTCTCTCGATGCACCAATTATCAGAGGTCTGTTTCTTTCTATCATCATCAAATGGCACTGTAGTGGCACGGCTTATTAGAGAGTGTTAATCATTTACAGCCTGTTGAGTCTGTCCAAGCCCACCTTCATGGTTTTCCTATGTTGGAGATGGGAGAATGATACCCCAAAGTAAAGGCCTTAGAAGTAAAGCACCTCTTTCCCCTTCTCCTGACCCTCTGTTTCCTACTCACCTTTATCCCCCACTTCCCCCAAGGAAAGCCATAGAAGCCAGAATTTCTGTTGTTCAAGATAGTTGATAAAAACTAAAACCCCCTTTCCCCAAGGTAAGGCATAAACTTGAAAATAGGTTCTGATTTCCTTAGATTTTTGTTTTGATAAAAACTAAAACCCCCTTTCCCCAAGGTAAGGCATAAACTTGAAAATAGGTTCTGATTTCCTTAGATTTTTGTTTTGAAGCCAAACAAAAAGAAATTCTAGAGTTTACCGTTTTCTGACAGTAAATCATAAGATCTCCATTTCAGGAAGGATCCTGCCCCCCATACCTAGGGAACAGAATGCTGCAAAGAGAACAAGAAGAATCTAAATGTATAGGTCTTGCTGGGTTCCCCCACTCAGTATAAAATAGATAGCAAAAACAGTATAAAACCGGATTATTCACCCTTAATCTTTGGATCTGAAGGCTCCCATGCCATGTAAAACTATGATCACATATATTTATATTTGTCTCTTATTAATGTGTCAATACAGAGATATACACCACCACCCTATCAGGAAGGGGATTGTTCCCTTTTCTACCTGAATCAAAACTTTTCTGACATCAGGTACTTAGCAAATAAACCCATTTATTAGATCAAGAGATACAAACAAACCATATATATATATATAATCTTCCCTATTGCTAAAGCCTCATTTTCTAATTCCAAGAGAGCTTGGTTGGGGTTTAGGGCTTTATTTCTTTTCCAAAATAATGGGCTACCAGAAGAGGTGATCATCATGCTTTCTTGACTTCTTGACCACAATTTTCATGTGAGGGTCCCCATTCTGCCCATCCCAAGGAGTGCTGGAGGAATAATATTAAGGACTTTGACCAAACGGTGAAATGGAATAAATATTATGTGTATCCATCCCAGTGTGTGTCTCCAAGTTAGAATTTTTATTGTATTTCTCTCAACCTCTATCATCAGAGCAGAAGGAACTTTTCACTGGTCTCTCTTTTTCCATAGCTGTTACACTGGGTGTTGGGAGCTAAACCCTTATTGGCTTATTTATCTCTAAGAATTACAAAATGGAAAGATAAAGAATTGGGAGTGAGTACTGATTGCTGGTGGCCTGACTGCCTCTTGTTACTTAGAAGGACAAGTTGAAGACATTGTATTATTTTGACTGAGCTCTATTATCTTATACAAAGATTGTATTATTATTATTATTATTATTATTTGGTACCTGGGATTGAACCAGGGCATTGAGCATGCTAAGCATGCATTCTACCACTGAGCTACACTCCAGCTAAAAACTATACATACATACATACATACATACATGTGCACACATATTTTTTTCTTTTTCATGTTTATATTTTTTTTTTTTGCAATATTAGGAATTGAACTCAGGGCCTTGCAAATGCCAGGTAAACACTTTAATGTTGAGTTACAACCCCAGCCCTTCTTTAAAACTTTATTTTGAGATAGGGTCTTGCTAGGTTTCCCCAGCTGACCTTAAACTTAGAATTCTTCTGCCTCAGCTTCTTGAGTAGCTGGAATTTCAGGCTTTTGCCACTGCACCCAGTTCCAAAAGCTATTTTTTGAATAAAGATTTTGTGATAAAACTAACTAAAGTGAGAGTGTTTCTTCTTTTTTTCTTTCCCTTTCCTTTTTTACACTTTTCTTTTTTTTAAACCCCTCTCCCTCCTTCTTTTTCTTGTTTCTCTGCATTTTCTTTTTACAAGTGGACAAAAGACATGCATTTAAAAAATATATCAATGCTGGACTCAAGGAGCTTCCTAATCATCAAATTATTGGAACAGATTGAGAATGATTGGCATTAGCTCTTCTGTAAATGTTCAGTACAATTCTGCAGTGAAGTCATCAGGCTCAAGGGTTTTTTTCTCAGAGATTTTTAATTTTCTGATTCAGTCTCATTACTAGTTATATTCAAAGACAGTTCCCTGGGTAATGTTGGGCTGATACTATTATCCTTGATTCTTGCTTGAAGTTATCAAGAAAGAGGTGGAAATGCAAAGACACTACAAGAAAGAAAACTAGAGGCCAAAATCACTTATGAACATTGATGCAAAAATCCTCAAACTAGCAGACCAAATTCAGCATCACATTTAAGAAATATAAATGATGACCAAATGGTATTTATTTCTGGAATGCAAGAATGGCTCAACATTTGAAAATCGGTCAATATAATATATTGTATTAACAAATGAAGGGGAAAGCCACCTGATTGTTTCAGATGATTCAGAGAAAGTACCTGAAAAATTCAACATTTGTTCATAATAAAAATACCAAAAAGCTGGGAATGAATGAAACTCACTTTGTTTTTTGACTAACTTTTAGGTAGGTAGACTAAGGAAAAAAAAACGAGAAGACTCAAATTACTTAAATCAGAAATTAGGGACATTACTACCAATTCCATAGAAATACAAATGATATACTACCTCAATTTTATGTCAATAAATTTGAGAGTTTGTGTGAAATAGGCAAATTCCTTGAAAAATGCAAACCACCAATGCTCTCAAGAAGTTTGTATCCCAAACAGTCCTGTATCTAATAAAGAAAGTAAAACTGTTCTCTTACTATTTCTGTTCATTGCTGTAGTGGAGGATCAAGTAAAGGCATCCAGACTGAGAAGGAAGAAGTTAACTTTATCGGAAGATGACATAACCATCTATGTACAAACTGTGGAAACACTTAAAATGCTACTAGGCCAATATTCAAATAAAAATTGTATCTGTATATACTAGCAACAAATACAACTTTCTTATACAATTTATAATAGCATAAAATATGAAATATTTAAGGATAAATCTGTCAGAATTTTATTGAATCTATAAAACATTCATGAGATAAATTAAAAAACCTAAATAAGTGGAAAGATCTACCATGCTCCTGGACTGAAACATTAAATATTGTTAAAATGTCAAAAAAAATTTAAAAAAATGTATCAAAATACAGCTGAAGTCTCCTTCACTACTTACCCTACCTCCCCAATCCCAGCTGCAAATCTAGATATTCACACGTAAACCTTTGGGAACCACCTAGTATGAGCTCTCACTCTTGAACCTTTGCTATTTTACTTGCTATATTGGAATATGGGTATTGTTGTGTGCATGAAATCATATTAATCCAGCAATCTTTCTGCATCAGCTACTGCTGGCCCATGTAATCACTGGTGGGTCAGTGCTTGGCATTATCTCCAGTCACAGTAACGTGGAGTTCTCTTAATATGAGCAGTAGCTTTTAGTTTAAGGATCAGGATGGAGGTAACAGACTAAATACCGAGAAACATCTGGTCTCTTTGAATAACTAAATGCATTTCAAATTGAGCAGTAAACTCAACAAATGTTTTAAGAATGAGTGTTTAGTGGGTTATTTGCTAAGTCCCTGGATTCAACAATGAATAAAAACGTACACAGTTCCACCATCTTGAAAGTAAGAGTTAGCAGCCCCTGCTTAGCTTCTACTGAAGTTGTGTCATTATTGAATATAAAAGTAAATCTGTCCATTAGTGACTAAAGGTGAAGTTAATGTTAGCAATGGATTTATATTCTCTGAAGTGACTTTTTTTTTTTTTTTGCCCAGAAGTCTGTTTCTCAGCTCTTGATGAAGCAGACAGAAAAAGAGATCACAGAGTAGGGATAAGCCAGAAAGGGATGTTCAGAGGCTGAATAGTACATTCTGGAAAATACTCTTGAAACCTGTTGGAGATAAAAAGTTGAAAGAAAAGGGAGGAAATGAGCAAAACGAATGGGGACAATCGTGTGGTGTATAGAGATCTATTGATTCTCAGTGACTCAGTCTTTCTCTGATGCTGATGTGGGAATTAATGTTCCAACAG